TACGTAATCAGTTTTTAATTCAATGTAATAAAAATAATGTTTTTAACTTGTGTAATTCATGTCAAGCTAGCAAACATGTTCGGTTACCTTTTTCCCATTATGGGCCTATGATAACCGCTTTCGCAGCGTTGTAGTAAAACGGAGTCTAACCTTTCGGTTTTTCCCTGAGTATCGTGTCTCTTGAGGAATGGCGGAGAAGTTTCTTAATTTAATTTTAGTCACGGGCTATCGCTAATCGTCGGAAGCTTTTTCAATATAGGAAAGTGGTTGTGTTCTAAATTATGCCAATTTATAAGTAAGAGCTAGGTTCAATTTAAAGATTAATGTTTAAAAATTAAGTGTTCTAAAGATTGATGCAAATAAGAACAATGAATTGAATAATTAGAAATGGATATGTTCTTGGACCTCTTAATTAGGGAAATTAAGACTAAAGTTGGACTAATAATTTCTTTCCTCATAGACAAGAATAGAAACTATCTTCATTAATTTATCCTTATTTCTAGGTGTCATTAATGTGCTTAAAATGGTTGGCTTAAATTATATTCTAAACCCATAGACAAGGTAGAAATAATTTTCCAATATTTTAATTAATAAAAATAGCCAAATTCATTAACTAGTTAAACTCTTTATTTTAGCAATTGAATTTATTTCTCATAGACAAGATGTAAATCCTTTTCATTAAATTATCCTATTTCTAGGCCTTATTAATGTGCTCAAATATGGTTGGCTTAAATTAATTTTTAATCTCATAGACAAGTTAGAAATAATTTTCCAAGAATTTAATTAATGAAAATGGCTAACTATTATTAATTACTATTTCATCATTTTAAACAACTAGTCCAATTTATTAATTTTTACCCCTAATTTTTGGTCAACAAGTCAATCCATATTCCTTTTCTCAATTCATGCCCAAAACAAATTTAGCTACTAAACATCATTTTTACAATTAACAATATAATGAATATATTCAACATTAACAAGGAATTACACATGGATGATAGAAAAAATTTAAACAAAGCTTATATTCTGGAACAATAAACTTATAGGAACTAAAATATAATTTTCTGGAATTTTTCACGAATTAATAAATTTAAGATCCAATTTTAGCAACTAATTGATGATTTTCCCAATTTTAACTAGAAAATGCAAAAAGCAACTAAAAATACTCTAAATTCGTACTAAATTTTATTTTAACTACTCTTAGTGATATTTAAGTTAACTAAACTGGAATTAGGGCCGAACTCATTTTTTCCCCTTTTTTGAGTATTTATTCTAATTTATGCAATAATATCAAACAATTACCAAAATTAATTAAAAATTATTCCTACTTCGTGAAAATTAACTTTAATCAGATTATTAACTACCTTGAGGCTAGTGGACGACTATATAATTAATTGGAATGAATTCAACATCAATAACTATTTTATTTAATTTTTGGAAGAAAATGCAAAATGCTTGAAAAATAATCTGGAAATTTTCGAAGAACAGATCGAACAAACAAAGCACAGATTCAGATTCTACACGTTGAGAAGATGAAAATACATATAAAGAACTTACAATTTGGAGCTAAAATGAAGAAGATATGGATATTTGAAGTTTCTCTCTCTCTAAGACCTTTGGAGCTCGAAAATGGAAGAAGAAGAAGCCTTTTTAGAACTGATTTAGGGTTAGAGATGGTGTATTTGAGATGGGAAAAAGCCTGGTATTAATAGCCCAAAATTTTCCCGAAGGCGCCCAAGAGGGCGGCCGCCCTTCCTCCAAATCTGGCCGCCTACCGTCATGTCGCCGGCAAAAGATCGTGGCCACATCCCGTCAGCCGCAGGCGGTCCAGAAGGCGGCCGCCTGCCGTTCCTGTCTGGCCGCCTGCCGTCCAGTCGCACCGGCCGGTGGTTGGCTTTGTCCCGTTGTGCCGCAGGCGGCCACTGAGGGCGGCCGCCCTTCGTCCTCCGTCGGCCGCCTTCCGTCTTCTACCGGCTCGGGTCAAACTCAAAGGTTGACTTTTGATTTTACCGTAGGCGGCCAACCAGGCGGCCATTTTGGGCGCCTATTTGGGCGCCTTCTGCCAAATTTGTCTGGTAATTCCTGCGTTTCCTGCTCTCCAAGATTGTCTTCTGGGTCACCTTGATAAAATGCTTACTTCTTCCGGTATGACTTCATTTGTTACTCAAATTGACTCATTTTGTGCTCAATTGACCCGAAATTCCGGCAAACATATTATGAATGTGGTTTTCACCTGATTTCATGAAACATGAACCAAAATATCTAAAACATGCCTTTTCTTTCTATTTTCAATCAAAAATCACTTAAATTTGATAAGAAAAATAAGTACAAAAACGGACTTATCAGCCTAATACTAATGCTCCTTTTAGTATTATTCATAGTGATTTATGGACATGTCCATTTAATAGTACATACAGTTTTAAATATTATTTAATTTTCTTAGATTATTTCACCAAGTATCTATGGGTCTGTCCTCTTAAACTCAAATCTCAATTTTTTGTAAAATTCCTAGAGTTTAGTAGATATGTGTGCACTCAATTTGAAAAAGAAATAAAATCATTTCAGTGTGACTTAGGACGTGAATGTGATAACTCTCTCTCTCTCTCTCTCATAGGTTTGTCAAAGAACGTGGGTTTGTTTTTCAGTTTTCTTGCCCACAAACATCACCTCATAATGGTAAACTCGGACATATGATTTGTTGCATTAACAATATAACCTGCACACTTATCACCCATGCCTCCATCCCTCCAAAATATTGGCTTGACTCTCTTTATATGGTTTTCTATCTTCATAGCATCCTCCCCACCAAAACCGCAACCTTCAGCTCTCATGTCTTAGCTCTATACTATCGTCAGCCTACGTATGATGACATTCGTGCCTTCGGTTGTCTATGTTATCCGGACCTTAGATCCACCTCTACAAACAAAATGGATTCTTGGTCCACCCGTTGTTTCTCTCTCGGGTTCCCATCCCAACATCATCAGTATCGTTGTCTAGATTTAGCTACTGATAATTTTTTTAGACATGTTACCTTCTATGAGTCAGTTTTCCTTTTTTCTCTCCCAAATTTACCTCTCTCCCCATCCTCGTCTTATGACATTCTATCACCCAACCCCCTTCTCCTTCATCACCTTAACTATCAACAACCCATAAACCGTCACCTCACTCTTCCCCCATTCACAACATCAAACTACCCCATCTTCATCCCCACACCATCTAACCCCAATCCCCTCATACACCTCCCTCGCCAAACTCTCCACCTCCTCCTCAACCTCTCTATCCCACCCACCCTGTGGCCCTCGTGCCTCACACAGTATTTTTAAACCTAAAATCGTGTTTGATCTCAATGTACAAGCTCTCACCCCTATATCCCCTCTCCATCACTCTCACTTATCTGCCATTCAAGGCTAACTAGAAAACTGCCATGTAAGATGAGTACAACACTTTATTAAAAATACATATTTGGGATCTGGTTCTCCATCCCACTGGTGCTCTTGTTATTCGTTCTATATGGCTATCTGGCATAAGTTTCACTCGGATGGTTCCTTACAACATTATAAAGCTTGGCGGTGGGAAATGGTAAGTCACAACAGGTTGGTATTGACTGTTTTAATATTCAGTCTGGTGGTTAAACCTGCCACATTCCACTTTGTTCCCATTATTGCCACCTCTCGCTCATGGCTTATTCACCAACTGGATGTTAAGAATGCATTTCTCCACAGGGACTTATCTGGAACAGTGTATATGTACCAGCCCCATGGTTTTACTCGTCCAACTCGCCTTCACCATGTCTGCTTATTACACAAATCTCTATATGATATGGTCTTACGCAAACATCAATTGATTGGTTTCAACAATTTTCCAGTTTCAATACACGTTGTGGTTTTCATGGTAGTAAGTGTGACTCGTCTCTATTTGTGAATCACTTTGGCTCAAATATTGCTTATCTCTTGCTAAGTGTGGATGACATTCTTCTCACTGCTTCATCTAATGACCTTCTTCACTGACTTATCACTTTGATGAAGAACGATTTCTCCATGACCGGTCTTGGCTCATTACATCACTTTTTTGGGATTAGTGTGACTTGATCTACATTCGATCTATTTTTGTCACAGTCTATCTATGCTCAGGAAATACTTGCTCCCGCTACTATTGCCAAATGCAAACCCGTATGTAGCAACTCATGTTGACATACCTGCCAATCTTAGTGCCTCCACCGAGAGCCCTCCGGTTGATCTTACCTTAAATTGCAGTCTTATTGAAGCTCTAGAGTACCTGGCCCTCACTCACCCTGACATCTTTTATGTTGTGCAGCAAGTATGCCTCTTTATGCATGATCCACAAGAACTTCGTTTTCAAGCACTCAAACAGATCTCACATCACTTACAGGGCACAATTAATCATGGACTCTTCATCTCTTCCGGTCCCATTTATGGACTTATTGCGTACTCCGATGCTAATTGGGTCAGATGCCCTGATTCTCGACAATCCACACCTAGGTTCTGTATTTTCCTTATGACAACTTCATCTCATAGTCTTCTAAATGATAGCCAAATGTCTTTCGTTCAAGTGTTGAAGCTGAATTTCAAGGGGTTGCTAATGTTGTTGTTGAATCCTGTTGGCTGCGCAATCTCCTTCTCGACCTTCATCTCCCTCTCCGACATGCTACTACGATAACATTAGTGGAATATATCTATCTAGCAATCTTGTTCAACATCAACACATAAGCACATTGAAATTGACATCCACTTCATTTGAGAAAGAGTTCACTTGGGAGACATTCTAGTTCATCATATTCGTGCTGAGTATTAATATGCGGACTTCTTTACTAAAGGACTTCCTTGGCAGCTATTTTTACACTTTCGTGATAGTCTAAACATTCGTTCTTCTCCTGCTTTGACTACGGGGGTGTAATAGCCTTCCATATTTAGATGTGATCTCTATCCTTATTTAGATGATTTATATTAAATTAGTTGATATGTTAATCCCACATAATTCTTTTTTAATTACTCCCCTTACCATTTATACTCTCATCATTCATGTATAAATAGTCATAATGTAAAGACTTCTCCTCAAGGGAGTTTACACATTCTATTATAATTTACTTTTTACATGTAAAAAAGGATCGATAAATTAGCTGCAAGAATGAGCAACAATCCGGTGGTAAATAATCTCAATCCGTTGGAGCCACTGCAACGAACGAGGTGGTCGTGGTACGTACATACTCGCCCTGTCCTGAAATCAATCAATTCTCATCATCATCACAACTGCATGCGGCACATATATAAGGGGAAAAATGGTTTAAACACGTAAAACTTTATTGGGGTATAACATAAGTATCTCAAAATTGCATATATGTAATGTATTTACCCTGAGCTTTATATAGAAAGTTATTTTCGCACCATGTTTGAATGATTTTATACAAATAGAAATTTATTAGAATAATTACATAATTTAAAATATTTTAAGCTTTGTTAGAATGCAGTTAACATTCTAAAATTTCATTTGTGAAATAAATAATATTACATCGGTACAATTTAATTTTAATTGCATCTTCATAAATGTTTTGCATATGTTAAATTATGTACTTAACACCATAAAATTACATTTGTGAAAATATATATAACTATGATACTAACATAATTGTTTATATAGTGTTTGGGGTATATATATTACTTGTACAAGTTTGAAGTAGTTATCCCATGCCTTCAAATTTTGAGATTTTAAATTATTTTCTCCTATATATAAATATATAATATATTTCTCGAATAAACTAAATTATAGAGAGTATTAATGGCTTTTAAATCCAACTTAGCCTTATCACTAACATGGAAGTAATGAAAAAAGAGTTAATTATGCATATAGGACTAAAAGCTTGTCTGGTTGCACAAATAGGACCAAAAAACTAAACTACGTTTCATAGGACTAATTATATATGTTTTGGAAAAATATACACTTGAACCTATTGAAATGTTTTAATTGATAATAAAATCATAAAAATAATAAAAATTCATAAAAAAATTAATAAAAAAATAATAAAAATACTTATAAAATAATAATTTTTTTTATTTTAAAAAAAAACTAAAAAAAAATTAAAAAGCGCAAAAAAAAAAATACTACAACCTTTGCCACCCTTACACCAACACCTCCGGTCACCGGGTAAAAAATGCCACATGCATTAGGAATGCCATATTTATGACAGATTCAATGAAAAGCTTGAAATTCTCAAATAGTAGTATGCCATTTTGTTTGGCATTTTCAGAAGAAAAAAAAAAGACACTTTTTACACATGCCGGAGGTGGTGATGCAGGGAGGGGTGGGAAAGGCATCCTTTTTTATATGGTTTTTACTATTTTTATTTAAAAAAATTTAAAATAATTTTTTTAATTTTTATTTATAAATATTTATTAATTATTATTGTTCTACGATTTGTTATGAATTAAAACATTTAATTATGACTTTTGACTACCTTTTACTCATATTTAAAGGAGAGGTAAGAATGGAATGAAAATAGGTATGTTTCTAAATAAGAGTAATATGGTCCTATTTTGGAATAAAAACATAAGAAGTCTTATTTCTTATTTTTGCCATAGTTTTACTCCTATTTGGGGTAATTTCTAATGAAAAAAATATGACTGATTATTATTGTGCTCAATTTTAATGATGTGTATTCATAATAATCTTATTAAATAAGTTTACTGATATGATATACTTTCATTTGTCTACATGTTATTTATTAACGTAACGTATAATAAATTATTTGAAAACTGGTTAAATTTGTGTCATCATAACTTTTCGAAGTTTGAATTTTGTACTATATTTAATAATTAATAATACAAAACGAAATATATCAATGGTCAAAAATTGTGAATTGACGAATGTGAAAGATAGATTGTTGTACATATTTGATAAGAACGGAAAATATAACTTTAAAATGCTACAAAACTCTAGTAAAATTTTGTCCATAAATCCAATTCAAGTAATATTTAAGAATAAACTTCTTTGTTTTTAAATTGTTTCTAACAAAGTACACATATGAATGTTTATGTAGTATCCTAAAACAGGAGTCATTTTGAAATGGGTCAAAAGTAATTATTAATAATCATAACTCGTAGTATATCTCTCTCTCACTTAAGCTTCTCAATGTAAAATCACTGAGTTATTTAAAAATAATTAAACAAGGGAATTCAAAAACTTTTTAGAATTAAAATAATTTTGATTTGATCTATATATAACATAATGAGTTCATTGATGATAATTGTGATCTTATATGTGTATTATTTTTAATATTTGATGATTAATTTTTTCATTTAAAAGTTTTAATGGCATCTTTCCTCCCATGTATAATACTTCATATTTCATTGGATGAAGTATTAATTCTTGTGCGTTCTACTCCACTTTGTCAATTTTCCTCTTTTAATAATCACAAAAACTTTAGAGATCTTTTCAAAAAAAAAAAAACTCTAAAAAAGTTTATGTACAAAAATATGATTAATTGACTAATAGTATAATCTCAAAGTCACTTAAGTGTAAAAACTGAATATACGATAGTATGATCGACTGAGTACTAGTGTACTACTATAGTCACTACATTTAAGAAATCACATTTTTATAAACAATATTTATTTTAGTCATATCTGTAATATATATGACTGTGATATATACTTTATCACAGTCATATATAATAACTATCCTCCTTTTTTTTTTAATTGCAACATGTTGAATTTTCCACTATTCACATGTTCTACTTTGACTACATGTTACGCTATTGTTTTATGAAAATTATTTTTTTGAAAAAATATTGTTCAATTTATCTCATTACATATTCTCAAAATCTGATTTTTTATTTTTTTTACTAATAGAGATTAAGATATAATTACGGTCAAAGACGTGCGTTAACAAGTGTAAAATGTTGACCGTAACTAAAAAAAAGAACGGAGAAAGTATATGACTGTGATAACTACATACATGTCACATTTGTACTCATATCCCTTCAAAGGATTAATTTAAGATTCCATAGCTTCTCTATAGGGAGTACTAATTTCTCTTCCATGTATAAACATCAATCAGCCACCCTTTTATTTTCCCAAAGTGCTTTGTGTACACGCATGTCTTTTGTTTGTTCATAAGATTTTTTCCCCATTATTGTGAAGTGATCGTATGTGACAGTGTGACACCGAAAGATTCGTTCTTCATATCCTTGAATCTTCAAAGTCTTGTTCTTCAAATCTTCGAGCTTCGTTCTTCAGATCTTCGAACGTTCTTCAACTTTTGGACTCATTTTTTATTATCAAGAATACATGAAATCACAAAGGATTATTCATATATTCTTGAGAAAAATCGTGGCTTGATCTCTTCATCTTCTTCGGAATCGTTCAGAGCCTCTCGGGAGTTCTTCAGAGCTTTGCTGCAGCGTTTCTTCGTCTGAAAGTTCTCTCCCCTTTCTCTCAATTGAGACCCCTATTTATAGGTGTGTGGGGGGGGGGGGGGGGGGGGGGGGTGAAAATATGGCCTAGGGTTGCAGAAATTCGTCCATACCTCATGGGTCTCAATTAAAATGGGCTTCAGGCTCCATTTGCTTGTATTTTAATAGCCAGAAACATCAGCACTTGTGCAATGTACCCAGACAGCTTTCTTAACAAGGTTCAGAGCTATTTTTCATGCATATGGAAGGATTTCTTAGCCAGATTCGTTGACCTCTTTATCAATTGGATCATGTCTCGTATATATTGGGCCGCTATTCGATAGTGGGCTCAAAATTAACAAGACTGGTCCATTCTTTTAAAGATTTAATTTATAATTAAATTAATTGGATATTTTTCAATGACCCAAATTAATTCAATCATTAAATTTTATTCGAATGGACCCATACTAATATGTTTGATAAGGCCCAACAACCATCACGAACAACTCAGTACATTCTGACGGTGGCCCAGTACAAATTCAATTGTTCCCGTTCAACTTTAATGCTTGATTGATAGAAATGGACCAACTATTTTTACATATCCACTAATGCCCCCTCGCGGCTTGCTTGAATATTTTGAAGAAAAGTAAGTCTCGAAATAAGTGAATATAATCATTTATTGCCTCATAACATGCTTTCTTCTTTAATCATTTAGCCCAAATGATTAAATCTTAATATTTTCATCTGCTTTAATGAGGATCCTTATGGGTTGCGGCTCTATTAATGAGGATCCTTATGGGTTTCGGCCGAACATAACCCAATCCTGTGTGCCCTCGAAGATTGATCTGCTTCGATATCCCTTCACCATCAGCTTCCGGAATGAGTTTTCTCAACCTCTGTTCGTTGGGATTATTCCCAGCCTTGACCAGAAGTTTGTATGCATTTGGGTCAAATCCTTCATTTGTGCGTGCCTCAGGGACCTGAAATGTCTTAACATCATTCTCATTTTTCACTTCCTCCTCGGACGTGTTTTGAGGAGGCCTTAATATCTCAATCTTTGCAAGAGGGAGTGTAAGCCCTTCTACGCCTTCAACAAGCTTCCCTTTCAGCTTTGGTTCAATCAAGGGGCGATATTCTTCCTCTTGTCTAGCATTGTCATCTTTAGAAACTTTGGCCTTTAGGTAAAACCTCGCATCTGCAAAGTATGTCTCGGCTTCTGTGAATGGAGTTTCATCGGCCACCACTGTCTTTATAACGCCATTTTGCTCATACATGAAGCATTGGTGCCATGTTGAAGGAATTACACCGTTCTCATGGATCCATGGGCGGCCCAGAAGAAGATTATATGAAGTCTTTGCGTCAATGACATGACACAGAGTGCTTGCCTTCAGCCCGTCAATGACCAAATCAAGACGTATCATTCCAATCGCCCGTTGCCCCCCTTGATTGAAGCCTCGAATCATTAAGCGGCTTTGGGAGAGTTCATCCATTGATATATCAAGGTCTTTCATAGCTCGAACCGTCAAAATGTTAACGGCAGACCCTTGATCTATCATAATTCTTCTGAATCTTTGTCCACTAGTGTATCCTTCAACAAAAAGCGGACGATTATGGGGAGTAGCACCCAACATGAGATCTTCATCTTTAAAGACAATGTCAGCGGCTTATGAATTAGATTTTTGTGCTTTGTCCACTTCTTTCTTAGTCGAAACTAGAGATGAACATCCACTTGAACTCTCAACTTCTTCCTCATGGGTGCTAAGACAAGAACTTGAAATTTGTGTCACCTCGTTCTTGAAATCCTTTGGCATAAAGTCGTTGAGAGTAATCACCCTTCGTGCAGCCTTGGAAGGAACATGATCCTTCTTTTGTTTCTTTTGCTTCAACTTGTTTATCGGTTATTGCTTGACCCATTTCTTTACCACCTTCCTCGGTTGTGTCTTATGTTTGTGATTCTTATTTTGTTTATCTCGGGCTATTAAGATCTGTGTATCTTCTTTGTCATTATTTTCTTTATCTCTCATGCTTTTCTTGAAATGAGAGTCGTTCCCCATCACTTTGATAGTAAAAGGAAATCTTTGATTGTGAGAGTTCTTGCTCTCTTCTTAGGAGTCATCTTTGACCATGAATGGAGAAAACATACCAAAACTGATGGCAACTTGGTTTGTGCTTGCAACAGAATCAGCGAGCTCAATCTTTCCATCACGAGCTAGTGCCATGATTTTGTCTTTAAGAACCCAACACTTCTCAGTGGGATGACTTAGAATTCGATGATAGTTGCAGTATTTGGGATCATCAACTTTTATGGCTTCCTCGGGTCGCTTGGACTCAGGCAAATTGATAAGATTCAATCTCATCAGTTTCTCAAACATGAGAGGAACACCAGAGTCTAAGAAGGGGCACTTCTTTTCCAACATCTCTTCTAGAAATGGTTTAACGCGTTTTGATGCCTCCAAGTCGGCTCTAGGAACTTGCTTTGAATTTTGAGTGAACATCTTAACAGGTGCAGTCTTCGTGACCATTGCTTCTTTCTTTTCAAACTTAGAAAAGGGCTTGCCCCATTCTTGGTATCTTGTTGTTCAACCGCATTATTGATGGGATACATACCCACGGTTTTCCTTCTACTGCTCGTAATGCTCAACTCCATGTTATGAGCTTTGCTTGCTAGCTCATCAAAAGTGTTTGGATTGACTCCTTTGAGAATGTAGCACAATTCCCAATGCATTCCTTCAATGCACATATCGATAGCGGAGCTTGTATAGATTCGTTCTTTGCAGTTTAGAGCAAGATCCCTCCAACGCTCAATGTAAGCTATCACAGATTCATCTTTCCATTGGCGAGTAGTTGTTAGTTCGAGTAAACTAACCACCCTCATTGTGCTATAGAAATGGTTTAAGAACTCACGTTCCATATCTTGCCAACTATCAATGGAACTGGGCTCCAAGTCAGTATATTAGTCAAATGCATTTGCTTTAAGGGAGCGCACAAACTGCTTGACAATGTGATCTCCGCTTGTTCCCGCACTGTTACAAGTCTCTACGAAATGGGCAATATGTTGTCTCGGGTTTCCCTTTCCATCAAATTGGATGAACTTTGGTGGTTGATAACCATTGGGCATCTTTAGGTTTTCAATTCTTTGAGTGTACGGCTTAACGTAAGAGTACGTTTCTTGGTTGCCTTCGATCTTCCCCTCTATTGTTTCCATGATGAAGTCTTTGAGCTGATCAATTGGGATCATGCCCTCAGAGGTTGAGATATCCTTCCCCGAATCCTCTTGGTGAGGATCATTCTCTCCATTCACTTCGGGATCCTTTTCATGAGTATGACTTGACTCACCTTTCAAGCTTTCTACTTTGTTGTTCAAATCATTCAACTTTTGGTCCAGAGCTTGCATGAACATACTCATCCCCTCGATGACCTTAGTTAGATGAGCGATTTGTTCTTCCATAGACGTGGTGCTCGTTGTCATGGTGGGCATCATAATGTAGACATTTGATCACTGCAGAGTAGTTCTTCGTGGAGGAGTTGACGGGGGAGTAGAGTTTGATCCATATGATGAACTCTCACTGTTGCTTGTCCACTTCGGGGAAGTAACTTCACGTATGGGTGAAGAAAGCTTGCGGGCCATCTCTTGCGCAATTCAAAATCCATCCATCGCACTGGGAGTAGTTCCCGAACATGACTGCGCGGCTATGATTCATGATCGGCTCCTAGTGATAGAGCCTTGCATATCTTCACTCGAGCTTGATGATGCTCCAGAATTCAGAGTGAACACGGGCTTGTTTGATGCCATTGGTTCGTTTTCCTTGATCAAAAGTGAAGAGATGAGAGGTAGAGTTGTCCCACCAGGCGTGCCAAAAAATTGTGAAACAAATTTTAAGTATTTACTTAAAATTGATCGCAAATAATAATATGTGAGAATATCGGGTACAATCTCTAAATATGAATCCTCTGATTCTTCACTTGCAATTTGAAGTAATATATTAAAGAATTTAATTTAAAATTAAATCTCTAATCCTTCAAATATTCGAATGTTCTTCGAATCTTCGTTCGTGAGATCTTTGAATCTTCATTCTTCGGATCTTCAAATCTTCTTGAATAAAGAATTCAGATTGAAGGGCCACCGGTTTTCAAGTGGCTTGATCTTCAACAAAAGGGTCGTTTTATGGCTTAATCTTCTGTTTAAGGGCCTCCCGGGATATATGGCTTGATCTTCATTTGAATTTTGATTCAATCTTCATATGAATACATTCAAAGATTCGTTCTTCATATCTTTGAATCTTCAAAGTCTTGTTCTTCAGATCTTCGAGCTTCGTTCTTCAGATCTTCGAACGTTCTTCAACTTTTGGACTTATTTTTGTATCAAGAATACATGAAATCACAAAGGATTATTCATATATTCTTGAGAAAAATCGTGGCTTGATCTCTTCCTCTTCTTCGGAATCGTTTAGAGCCTCTCGGGAGTTCTTCAGAGCTTTGCTGCAGCGTTTCTTCGTCTGAAAGTTCTCTCCCCTTTCTCTCAACTGAGACCCCTATTTATAGGTGTGGAGGGGGTGAAAATATGGCCTAGGGTTTTAGAAATTCGTCCATACCTCATGAGTCTCAATTAAAATGGGTTTCAGGCTCCATTTGCTTGTATTTTAATAGCCAGAAACATCAGCACTTGTGCAATGTACCCGAACAGCTTTCTTAACAAGGTTCAGAGCTATTTTTCATGCATATGGAAGGATTTCTTAGCCAGATTCATTGACCTCTTTATCAATTGGATCATGTCTCGTATATATTGGGCCGCTATTTGATAGTGGGCTCAAATTTAATAGGGCCAGTCCATTCTTTTAAAGATTTAATTTATAATTAAATTAATTGGATATTTTTGAGTGACCCAAATTAATTCAATCATTAAATTTTATTCGAATGGACCCATACTAATATGTTTGATAGGGCCCAACAACCATCACGAGCAACTCAGTACATTCTGACGGTGGCCCAATACAAATTCAATCGTTCCCGTTCAACTTTAAAGCTTGATGGATAGAAATGGCCCAACCATTTTTACATATCCACAGTTCTAATCGTTATTGACAAATAGTTGCAGTACAAGATACTCAACATGACGATATTCACATTAATGACATCACTTTTCAATTGTTGGAATATTTTTCTAATTATGAAAGTAACAATTCCTATTTCGATAAAAAACACACACATAGAAATCCTATTTTAAAAGTCGAAATCCTTGTCAATTTCCCTAAAACAAAAAAAAGTAGAGGTAGGTACCTGGAGGAGCAGAAAGAAACAACATAATCGGTGCCTGAGCAAGTGAAGATACTGGAAGGGTCATCGTACGCATAACTGTAGGCAGTGGGGCAAGCCTGCTTGAATTTCTTCGAGTAAAACGTGGGCTGGCACGTCGTCGGATTCCCGTAAATGCCCTTGCAACAGTACTCGTCCGTGTCGAACACGTCGCACGCGCTGCGGCACGCCACCGTCTTCCCGGCGGCCTTCAGGGCCAGCTCCGACGGGCAGTCCGGCCTCAGGTCCGCCACGCATCCCGCCACGCTGCAGTTCCCCCTCCCGTTCAGCGGCTTCACCGTCACCGGCACGTTGAACCCGTCCACCAGGCTCACGTCATAGAAGTCCGGGGAGGCCAGCGTGAACTCGGCGAGCGAGACCGGGGGTTTGCCAGAGGCTCCGCACTTGAGAGTGCTCCCGCAGCTCCCGGTTTCGCACGTCCCGTTTCCGTTCTTGTCGAAGCTGCATCCCGTCCGGGCCCACATTCTCCCGCTCCACGCCACTGGCGCCGTGAACACCACCGACTGCCCCGCTTTTAAAGTGAATCCCCCGCCGTTGAAATTCTCGCCGGGGGTCACCGCCGGCCAGATCGTCTCTTTGCAGTTGTTTACGATTGTGAAAACTCTCGCGCTTTCACTGATTCTCACACCTACCTTGCCCAAATCACAAATTACTTCAAAAATTAAGGCCTCCTTTGGTTCAAACTTCAAAGGAGAGGAGGGAAGGAGAGAGTCAATGAGGAGGAGAATTCAAAAAAAAATTGAATTCTTATATGGAGTGATTATATCAAGAGTAGTATGTAGTAACTTTTAATTAGTGATTGCGATCATGTTCAATTTTACACTATAATAATCATGATGTTATTCATAGTAAATTTAGTCACATTTTGACCACACAACTTTTATTCATTTAAGTAATAGTTTTAGAAATACCTCTTTTATTCGTGTATGTTTGGGGAAACTTCCCAAAAAGAATTATACTCTGTAGATAATTAAGAACATTCGTACAATTTTTGTGAGGACAAAAATTCCTCTTGTACATGTTTTTTCTGTGAACACTGAAAAGACTACTCACACATAAAAAAATTGACCTATACAAAATGGTGTACACAAAAAAGTGTGTAGAATACCTTTTTCTTGTAAGGATTTCCATTTTAATTTGTTCACCTCCTATGAGGAGGGTGAACACATATCACCCCAGTCTCCTCGGCTGCCATGTGGTATTACTCTTCATTTTTTCTTTAAATTGTTATCTTTTTTTTATGATCCAATTTTTATTAAAAAAAAAATCAGTTTAATATTAAATGTTATTTATGATCATTTTTGCAAAAAAAAATGAAAAAAAATCTTTTTTCCGAATAACTATTTTTAGATGTTTTTTTTCATATGCAATATTGGTATACATATGAAAGATCGTAAAAAATTGTTATAGTTTTTAAAAAATTGAAATAAAAATGAAAAGATAGTGCTTGTATTTTTTTAATGCATGTTAACTCGATTATCTTGAGTTATATGTCGTTCTATATCGTACTGAATTGCCAACAGAATGTCGTAAGATTGTTTTAATTAATAAGTTAAAGAACAGGAATAAAAGATAACTAGAAGTTGGCAAAAATAGTGTAATTTAATACTACGAACGAAATTATAAGAAATGTCGCAATTAATTAAAGTATTAACTGAGAGCAATAAATAAATAAATAAAAATAGGATCAAAGTGGGTGAAGAGAAAAACAAAAATCAAAATTTAATTAATGTACGTACCTGATAATATGGATAAGAAGGTGAAGAAAATGGGGAGATGAAATGCAACCATAGTGGTGACCATTAATTAATTAACGTAGAGACTGGACGCATGCAGTATTTAATTAATTTGTGTGAGAATGAGATAGAGAAGTAGGTGCAAAGGCTAATATAATTAATTAACTATAAACTGGGCAGACTAGGCATCCATTCATTATATTCATTCATATTGCGCAAAAGGGAGCTCAGAATTCTTGGCTTGTCGCTGGAGATAAAAGCAAAAGTGGATGGTGTACGTGCAGTCAAAGAAACCATACATTCCCCCCAATTAAGTATGCTTGTCTTAATTATAGGGTTACTTACTTTATGTTTCAGATCCATGATGCTAGAAGATATCATCCTTCCAGCACAATGTTACCTTACCTCGGGGTCTAGGGGACTTGAGGTAAAGATGGTTGAAACTCGAAACTGTTTTCCTGAAATTTCGAATCCAAGATCTTTCATATGAAAGAGCTTGTCGGTGACCATATATATGGAAGAGGTCTAATACAATGATGTCTTCACATGAAAAGTAAGAAGTGATTTAACCCATTGATCACTTAAAAATAGATCGGAATATATCAAAATTCATGAGGCCACGGCCAAATGTTAAACTCAAATGTGCAATATTAATATATAGTAAAAATGCATATGTGATGTAAATGGGCACATCAACCTCGTTAAAATATATCACAAAACAATTTTGATTGTTTTTACTCCCTCCGTCCCAATTTACTTAGCCAAGCTTGATTTTTCAAGCCAATGATATCTAACTTTGACTGATTATATATCTATATGGAATAAATATTAATAATAAAAAAATTATATGAAAATATTCTTTGTTGAAAATACTATTACAAAAGTATGAAATTATTAATTTTTACATAAATATATTAGTTAAAATAATTGGTCAAAGTTTATTACCTTTGACCAGAAATGTAAAGATTGACTAACTAAATTGGGACAGAGGTAGTATATTATTTCAAATATCATACTTAGTCACTATAAAAGTACGATTCTAGTCACTTTTTATTCATGCGTATTATTTTAATTATATTCTACTATAAAAACTCTATTTTAGGGGGAAAAAAACTCTATTTTTATAGTAGAATTTAAATTACTCAAACTCTTGTAAAGCACCATATTATGATGACTATATCTCATATATTTAGTTTCACATGTTGAAAATATCTCATATATATTATAAATGAATTGAATTAAAGAAAACACATCTAAGGAATATTATATTAAATCTTACTATGCACATTCATAATGCAACCAAATATCAAGGAGACCCCATACTATGAATGTTAAAATAACATAATATAATAAATATATTGCATCAAGAATAGTGAAGCATAATACAACATTATTACAACATATGCAAACGAAAATAAAAATAACACCTACTTTCAGTGCATACTATTTTTTAGATATAAATTCCTATTTAATACTTATAAAGAGAGGCCAGCCAGAAATAATCTTTCTTTGTCTTAATAAATCACTGCTTATGGCCTTATGCTATTCACTTATTGGAGGTTTGTTTTTAGAAGTGCTAGAAAAATTAGCAATTATGTGTTCTATTATGGCAGTCTGTAGAATCCAATATTTTAGGGACTATCAGAACCTTCAAAACTTGCAAGACTTTTTGGAAGAAATTTCAACAGATCTTTGCAAATCATGGTATTTAGTGCCTATATGATGCTGCCACAAGTTGGCATCTCTTAAGCAGACAGGTCACGATATGATGTCCTTCATAGCCGAAGCACAAGTTGCTATTGAAGAACAGAAAAATGTCCTTAGAAGCTGCATCTCTGACGGAAACCAAGAAGAAACTGGGCAAATTTTATATGGTAATGATCCCGCGAGCCATGAACTCATATTTCGATCACATTAGGGACCAAATCCTCATTGGATCTGAGGTACCGACCATTGACAGTTTAACAACACGTCTCCTTCGGATCCTCACTTTTAGACTGACAATTCTCAAGAACCTGTAGAGCTTTTAGCCATGGTATTTCATGGAAGAGGGGTAGTGGAAACAGAGGAGGACGTGCAGGAAGAGGACGTCTCCAATAGACCCATTACAAAAGAATGGGTCACACTCATGAGAACTGCTACTTTGTTCATGGTTTTCCTAATAAAACAGCCAACCTCTCCATATCTAATATTTCTGAAGTTTGTGATCCAAAGCTGTCTGGTGAGGAATATCAAGAGTATTTGAGATTAACTACTAGCATTTAACTATTTGCGTTTGATAATCAAAATCTTCCAAAACCCTGCATACGTCAACTGCTTGCGTTTCACAATCAGCAAAAGGTCGAAATCCATGGATAATTTACTTAGGTGCTTCTGACCACATATCTAATAATAATACTTCTATGTTCTCTTCTCATTCACATCTTAAAAACACCTACATCTTATAACCATGGAAAATGGACCCACAACTTGTTTCCCAAGGAATCGGCCAAGTATCCCTTTCTCCTACCTTGAACTTGAAATCTCTTCTTTTTGTCCCCACATGTCTGTTTAACCTCATTTCATTAAGCCAATTTGCAAAATCATTGAACTGTACAGTAACCTTTGATGCTAATTCATTTGTTATACAGGAATGTGAAGCGGTTGCATGATTGGAGAAGGATATGAATATAGAGATCTCTACTATTTTGGAAACAAATCACCAGCCTCTTGTATAGCAAAACCTTCTCCCAAACTCTTGCATGAACGTTTCAGACATCCACACTTAACAAAATTAAATAAAATGGTTCCTCAACTTAGCGGTCTTCAAACCTCAGAGTGTGAGTCTTGTCAGCTCAGGAAACATGTTAGGTTTTCATTTCCTAGATATTCTGAGTCTAGATGTGATTCTGCATTTTCTATTATCCATTTGATGTTTGGGGACCATGTCGGGTTTCCTCTTTTTGTTTCAAATATTTTGTCACGTTCATTGATGAATTTTCTAAGTGTACTTGGGGTTTATCTAATGAAGGATCGTTCTGAACTTTTATTTATCTTTACTGCTTTCTTAATGAAATTCGCAATCAATTTGGAACAGTAATCAAAATTTTAAGGAGTGACAATGCCAAGGAATATTTCTCCTCTGGTTTTTCCTCCCTCTTAAGCTCACATGGCATTTTACACCAATCGACTTGTCCTCATACACCTCAACAAAATGGCGTAGCTGAAAGGAAAAATAGACACTTGATTGAGACTGCCCGTACCTCATTACTTGGTGCCAATGTACCAGTTCATCATTGGGGAGATGATGTCTTAACTGCTTGCTTTCTTATTAATAGAATGCCATCCTCTTCTCTTAATGATAAAGTCACTCATTCTGTCTTATCTCCTAATGAACCTCTCTTTCATGTTTCCCCTCATGTGTTTGGTTGTGTCTGTTTTGTTCATGTTATGTCTCCGGGATTAGATAAACTCTCAACCCGAATTGGGTCTTAACATGGTATAAGAGCCAAGCTCGATTGTGATTTGGCTGCTTGTTTAACAACCATGATTAATGGTAGCTTGTTAAAGATCTGTTTAGACCATTTATACATCCTGATATTATTCAAGCCATTTCAGGCTAAGGGGGCGTGTTAAAGTATTGGTCCCACACCGGAAAGCTAGCTATAAAACAATAAAACATTGTACAAGGCTTTGGCTACTCCCTCCTATAAGGTTGACCTTTTAGGATGGATGGAATCTCAGGTCTTAACAACTTATAAGAAACTGAAGTACAAATCCATGTAGTCCAACATAAAGCCTCATCTTCATTGTTGAGGTTTGAGAATGAGCCATGAAGAAGATAGTCTAATAACTTAGTATAATAGTAGTAGAAATGAGAGTACTCTAGAAACCCTGCCATTTCTGCATGTAACTTCTTTGTTTGCTTTCTGTATATTATTTCCTCCCCCCATGTGTATCTGATCAAAAACCATAAAATCAAACATCTTATGGGATCACAAAAGGATGGTAAGATTTAATATTAATATCCTAGAGAGATACATGAAATTGAAATTCCCATGATAATCTTAAGGAACTTTAATACATTCATTTATGAATAACTTATGGCTAAGAGAGTTCACAAAGATTGTTTTCAACATTGGGAAATATGATAATTTTATAACCCACTATCTAGAAACTAACTGAGTAGCCAAAACTGTTTTTTATGCAGGTAGAAAACGCATAGAGTATCCAATTTATATGGAATGTATTATTTTAGTAATTAAAAATAAATTCTCTCAGATGGTCCCTACTTTTCGTTTTTGTTCTTGAAGGCCTGGATAAAAAAGATAATAGAGGGTAGGTGGCTTTTAAGATGGCACCTTTGGTTGGAAGATAAAATAGGTGCCAAATCAAACTTCAAATAATTTTCATCATCACCTTAATTGCAACTATATATATTGAACGGTCTGAAGAGAGAAAATTGCACCCTCATGACCTATCCTCATATTAGGATTTTTACTCGTGCGTTGCGGCATTAGTATTCTTAGGATTCTTAGAAAATAAAGTCAGAACCAAACAAAATATATTTTTCTTACTTACTGCAATTAAGCCAAACAAAATGTCCAAAATGATAGTTTAGTTTGAATGAAGCAGAATAATATTCTTAAATTATGTGGGAACCCACAACATTCCTTTGAGCACAATTTTAACTTGATTTATTGTGTCGTAGCCTAAAAGAAAGAGAATCTTACAGGTCATGTTATGCTTATTTTACTTTTATTTGTATGTTAAAGTCATTTTCGTTGATACTTTTGAGTTCACTCCTTATGTTGAGTTTAATCCAACACGATATAGTAAATATATGTATGAACACTCAGTTTTTACGTGGAAACCCGAAAGGGAGAAAACCACGGGACTTTTTAGGCTAATGTCCAAGCCCTCTCATTCTCATTAGTCTCTCCTCACCATTACATAGTACAAGTATTGAAGCTCCCATTAATGGAGTTCTAAGCTATTCTAGAGAGGAGGAAGAAAGGAGCAAAGGATCCTTTACATGGAGGGAACACCTCCTATAAATAGGGAAAGAGATGAGGGAAGTACTCCACCCTAATGGGCCAAACGGGTCGATGTCGGGCCTAATGGCCAAAGTGGGGCAGAATGGGCCGAAATGGACCTAGCTGCTCGGGCTGCGTACTGGATAATGTCTTGGGCTCCTGAACAGTAATGTGTCGGGATAATATATCCCAACACAAGTCCCCCAGTTTCTTGAGTAGTGAGCGTGCGAATCTGCT